TCACAGCATTACTCAGAAGCAAGCCAAATCCCTTCCAATTATGTATCATGACGTTTCCCCAGCGCTGCACTAAAGCAAGGCCCTTCACTTCTAAATGGCATGGTTTATAACAAATTGTCTGTTATACCAGACAGAAACTGATTTCCTCAAACCCAGCATATTAAAGTGAGTACATTCATTCTGGTTGTAACACACAAAATGTGATTATAACAGACACTTTGGGGGCTTTTTAAGGCTAGCAGAGAAGAGGAGGATAAGCTGGAGGGGAAGAAAGAATTGACAAGTAGAGAAATGACAGAGAAAGAGAAACAGCCACGCTGATTTCATTTCTTACAAAACAAAAATCTTTGTGTGTTGTAGAAATGTGCTTTAGTTAACACCAGCAGATAGCCAGAGCAAAAGCTGCCGGTGCTGCCTGAAACGAAAATTGCTCTATTGTGCTTAGAAAACCATTTCCCACAGCGAGGAGAACCCTTTCCAGGTAGTACAAAGCAGACCTGAAACCAAGGGGGCCTTATCCTGCAACTGTTGCTCCCTCAAATAATCCCTGCAGCCACCAGGAGCCCCAGCTAAATCAGTGTGAGTGAGGATTATGCGGGAGTGTATCAAGGTTGGGGGATTAGACCAGGATTATCACTAAAACCAGTAATTCCCCATCTTACTGATGGTGGCCATCAGCTCGGGAGGGGCGGGTGGCCACGGCTCTGGGAGCTGGTGGCCGTGTGGGTTCCCAGGGGACTCGGGTCCTGCTGGATCAGAGGCTGCTCCACCTTGACCTTCTTCTTCAGAGGGCCCCACCAAAGCAGCACCAGAGCAGGACCAGGCCTGATCCACGCTCTGCTGACAGCAGTGCTGCCACTCCCCTTCCAACACGGCCACCATGGAGCCATCCCCGAGCCCAGAGCCAGCCCAGAACTCCGGGCTAATTCCACCCTGGGACACCCAGCCTCTCAAGGAGGGCTGTCCTGCTCCTGTGTCACACCTCCTCTGGAATGCCTGCCCTGGGCTGGCCACCACGGTGGCCCCAGGCGAGATCTGGGGACAGAGCGAGCTGCTGTCCCCAGGGTGATTCCCATCCTGGAGCAGCAAACAAACGTCACCTCCCAAAGCAGTGCAAACCTGGGACGTAGAACTGCCTCTGAAACACAGATACAGCCATCACACACATACTGTTTACCTTGTAAACCAACAAGTCAAAATCCAGGCATGGAAGTGTTACCCAAGGGTGGCTGCTCTACATGCAAGTCATGTCCCTTGGATCCTAAAAGGCTGGGCATTCAGAGCACTTTCCACACCACCCCAATGCAACACGCATTTTTATCAAGGAAGCTGCCTAATGGCTCCTATTAATTTTGATTTTTAATCTCCTGGTACAACTCCCAGCAATATACATGCAAAACCTGACAACAAGCCCTTTTGGTTTCAAAGCTGACTTCTCCTCCAGCTCACAAGGAAGATAAAAAAGAGCTCTGGGCAGCAGCAAAGCCTCTGAGCAGCAATGCCCTTGCAGCTCCAACGTGTCCCACTCTCCCTGCTGCAAAACAAGCCCAAACACTAACGGGGGCCGAGCCTCCCGCTGTCAGCCACGATCACTGGAGCTGCTCACAAACGCTTTGTGCCATCACTGCCTGCAGCCTCACACCCAGAGCCTGTGGGCAGGCATCCCTGAGAGGCACCAGGGCACCCACGGGAGCACTGCAGGGCCACAACAGCCCAGGACATCCCTGCAGGGTCACAACAGCCCAGGACATCACTGTGGGGTCACAACATCATCCAGGACATCACTGCAGGGTCACAGCATCATCCAAGACATCACTGCAGGGTCATAACAACAGCCCAGGACATCACTGCAGGGTCATAACAACAGCCCAGGACATCACTGCAGGGTCACAACATCATCCAGGACATCACTGCAGGGTCACAACATCATCCAGGACATCACTGCAGGGTCACAACCTCATCCAGGACATCACTGCAGGGTCACAACAACAGCCCAGGACATCCCTGCAGGGTCACAGCATCATCCAGGACATCACTGTGGGGTCACAACATCATCCAGGACATCACTGCAGGGTCACAACCTCATCCAGGACATCACTGCAGGGTCACAACAACATCCAGGACATCCCTGCAGGGCCACAACAGCCCAGGACATCCCTGCAGGGTCACAGCATCATCCAGAACATCACTGCAGGGTCACAGCATCATCCAGGACATCACTGCAGGGTCACAACATCATCCAGAACATCACTGCAGGGTCACAACAACAGCCCAGGACATCACTGCAGGGTCACAACAGCCCAGGACATCCCTGCAGGGTCACAACATCATCCAGGACATCACTGCAGGGTCACAACATCATCCAGGACATCACTGCAGGGCCACAACAGGGTCTCAAACTTCTTTTGCACCCTCAGAGCAGGGCTGCAGCCCCCACAGACACCACCCTTTAATCCTTTCCAGATCACCAGGGAAAGATGAGACGCACCACCAAACCCAATTATTCCCAGCCCTGAGACCTGCCACCGCATTAGAAGAAACATTTCCTGAAGCTCCACAAACAAGCCATCCTTGGGGACTTTTATTTCAAGGCTCCTGACTGTTAAAGTAAATGAGGCTCACGTTAAAGACCAGCTACATCACAAACCCTCCGCTGCTGGGGCAGCCTGTGTCTGTCTGCAGAGGCAATCGCTTCCCCCCAGCCACAACCATCACATGCCAAGTGACACTGCCAGAGACGTGTTTACCTCGTATTTTAGCTGCTACCAACCCATGCTTTGCCTTCCCATCAGGAAGAGTCACTCCTGGGTGGAGCAGCAATGATATCTCCCCGATGCTGACACCTCATAAAGCCTCCCAGGGGAAACAACGGCGGCCTCATCGCTGGAAGCCATTCAAACCAGCCCAGGCAAAGCAGCACTGGAAACACTGCAGGGAATGGTTTGGCTCTGTAAACTCTGGGCAGGGACTGTTTATGAAATCCTCAGCACCCAGGGCTGTGCCAGTAGCACCCTGCACAGCCACAGCATCGCTCCACAGCGCCTGCTCCAGCAGTGACCGGCTGCAGGGACTCAGGGCTGCCGTGATCCTCCCAGGAAACAACTTCTGTGGAGTTCCTGTGTCACCCTGTGTGCCAGGACAGGGCTGTCACTCCAGCACCAAGGAACAGCCTCACCCACAGGGGGCACGGGGAGTTTCAGAAGCCAATAGAACCCACACCACCAGCAAGACAGCTTCACCTGCAACGGCTGGAAGCCTAACACTGGAGTTCTGCCAAAAAACATCAACGTTCCCACCCTGAACTAAACTTCAAACAGCTTTCAGTTGGGATTCCTCCACACCATACCCTGATCCTGCCCTTTTGCCCAAAAGCACCTCCGGAGAGCGAGCAGATCCCACCAGGACGTGTTTCCCTCGCACATCCCTTGTGGGACTGGTGAGCTGCCTGGGGGAAATGTGCCACTGCCACTTGGCCACTCATTACAACACACAAACTGCTTTCTCCAGGCAAGCCAGCAGCTCCTCACAGTGCATCTCACCTGCACAAGGGATGGGAAAACGGGGCGAGCTGGAGCCACGGGAACAGCATCCCACCTCCCTCACAGGAGCGTGAACAAGGCAGGGAAATCTCTGGAGGGCACGTTGCATGAGACCCCAGCCCAGCTGCTCTACCAAAGAGAAGCACAGGCAGCACTGCCTTGTGCATGCAGCTGCCTGTTATCAGCTGAGTTCTGATGCTCCTGATGGTCCCTCCATCCTCCCTGGCACCTGAGACCTCCCAGTGCCAGCATGCACTTCTGGATAGTGCCAGCATGTGATGGATTTTGTGACTGGTGGTGGTGAATCACAGGCTGACAGGATGCTCCACTGCTCCCGTGCCCAAAGATGCACCAGCCAGAGATGCACTCCAGAATCCTCTCCAAAAGACCACTCCAGGAAGACAGGAATTCCCCAGGGACCAGCATGCCAACAGCAATGGTCACTGGGACGGGCCAACACTGGTACACAACCTCCCAGAGCTGGTTCTGCTTCAGTGGAAGTCAAACACCAGGGTTCAGTAAGCACTCTGCCAATACCACCACAGCAGGACCAGGCCCCTGGCAGCAGCCCTGCAGAGGGCCAGGCTCGGCTCTCTGCAGGACCAGGATGAATCTGAAGCAGCTCCACTGCCTTCAGCAGCAGCATTTTGCATTTACACCACCATCCTGAACACAAAACAGAGTGAGCCATAAATATTTCAGCTGCTTTTTCAGCTTTGTTATTCTGTTCAAAGCATGAAACATGACAAACCTTTGATTGTTTTGCTTAAAACCAAACAATAATTCAAAGAGAGACAAACAAGCAACATTAAATGATGCCTGTGATGTACAGGAAAGCCAAAGAATTAGAAGAAACTGATGAGGATGGTGTGGATCAGAGCAGTCCCTTTCCCTGTCTCCAGGAGGTACCACACATCGGTCCCATGGCAGCCAGGGTCCTGCACAGTGAAGGGACAGCACTGTGCCAGGTGTGCAGCAGGTCACAACGGGGCATGCTGCACTGTCTGCACCCCCAGCACAGCCAGCTGCCTCCAGAGGAGCAGCCACCAGCATCCCTTTCAACAGCCTTTGAAAAAAACTTCTGTGAAGGCAAGTGTGTCCTCCTTGAGCATGGCCACAGCCAGAGCACACCTGCAAAGCAGCCACCTCCAGCCTCCTGGGCGTGTGGAGACAGCCTGGCCTGGCCCAGCCCCACTGGCCACTTCTGAGGGTCTCTGCAGTGACACATGACACATGGGGGTGACACATCCACCCACGGCCACGCATCAGGGCTGCCCCAGAGCCCACAGGCGAGTGCCAGCTGCTCCCCCAGCCCATCCTCCATCCCTGCCTCCCCCTGGGGTGTCAGACACCCAGCAACCTCCCACGTGTGCTCTGTCCAGCAGCCAGAGGCCAGCAGTGGCAGCGTGCTCGGTGCCAGCAGCGCCAGAGCCGCGGTGCCCGGCTCCTGCCCGCGCTCACCTCGGGCAGCGGCATGCCGTTGATGATGAGGTCGGGCTGCTGGGGGCTCTGCCCCGTGAAGGTGTGGTGGTAGATGTGGTTGGAGCCGGCGTTCCTGTTGTTCTGGCTCTCCACGTTGAGGAAGGTGCTCTCGGAGCGGCGGCAGCCCAGCGGCAGGGTCTGCTGGTGGTAGTCGAAGTAGTTGAGGGAGGAAGTGAGAGAGGAGCAGCTCACAACGTTCATTTTATCCGTCTCCTCCACGTCCCGCGGTACCAGGCGGATGTCGTTCTTGCTGATTTTCTTCTTCTTGCTCGATTTCTTCTGATGCCCGTAGGAGTACTCTGCGATTCTGGGGGACAGAGGGAAAATGAGAAGCTGAGAGCATCCTAAACCCTGCCCCGCTAAAAACAGACGCAGAAACCCAGAGGGCTTGGCCCCCATCTCCGTGTGGGCTTCTTAGTCATGCACGTTACGTCACGGTTTGGGTCTGGTGGCACCACACCGTCTTCAGCTTATTCTCAATATGCAGAATGTTTTTAGGTCAAATATGTAAAAAAAAATGGCAAGGAAGAATGCTTCTGTTTTGATCTAGTGTATGTAATTGCTGATATTTAGTTAGTAGAAGTAAAGTCCAGTCTGCAGAAGAGTAAAATGGAGATGTTAAAATCCGTGAACTGAAAAGGGGACCTGCATTCATTTCCATGCATAATAAGGATTTTAAAAGTGATTTAATTTGGTCTCCATAAAGAAAATTCAAAAGGAATAGCAGATTTTTTTTTTTTCCCAGTTCATTTTCCATAGCAGTAAATAAAGCAGCCCCAGAAGCAGTCCTAGCTGGCAAGCTCAATCCTCTCACACTCCAAAGGCTGTTTGTTTATTAATGCTTTATCTAAATTGCTGGTGTTTTGACTGTCTCCTGATCATACCTGATCTCTTCTCCAATTCAATTCCATTCCTCCCTCGCCCTGACACGCACATCCCCTTCTGCCGGGAAATGCTTTCACCTTCTAGAAATCAGAGAACAACAACCGTGTGTTTTGCAAAGAAAAATGATCCTTTTTGACCTTTTTATTTTACTGCAAGCTTGTTTTTCTCTGCCTTTCCTTCCCTCTTTGCTTCCCACCTGCCAAAAGAATCAAATGATGAAGCGCCTTGTTTGCCTTCTGTAAAACACCAGAGGAAAAAAGTTACTGCACAACACCACCCAAGCAAATAACAACAAATTTTCTGCACCTTGCATTAGTTGGGTCTGCTCAGCTCAGAGTGACTGTGGCTCATCTTCCCACACTGAGCACCACAAGAGTCCCTGACACGAATCTGTACATGCACAGCACTGGGCAAGTCGGTGTTTCCCAGGGAAGCACATCAAATGCTATGCACAGTCAGAAATACACATTTGAAAGTCAGGATTTTGCTCCTCTTCTTGTTATGATAACAGCATAAAAAAAAAAATAAAATCCAATAGCTGCGGCAGAAATAATGGGATGAATAAATAATACAGTTTATCTGGAAAGGCAAATCTTGGACAAATATTCTTGTTCCAGAAAGCTAATCGCCTGAGCAGGAAAATGCCACAAAGTCCAACAGCCCTCATATGTGCCTCATAAATTAACAGGTTTTTTTGAAGACTCTCCAGCAGCTCCTGTGAGGAATCTCTAAAACAAGGCACTGCAAAGCCTGGAGGCGTGGGGAGAGGGTGCCCCATGGTCACTGCTGCTGCTGAGCCTGCCTGGTGCTTCCCCACCTCTGCAGCTGACTCCTGCTCAGACACACACTGATAACAGCCCCAGCACCCCCCTGAGCGTGCAAATAAATCACAGCAAGGCAGGCATCTCTGTTGTGCCAACAATCTATATGCTGCTGACTCGTCTAACAACGCTTGATGAAGCTTTAATTGTTTTGTTTACCTAAATGTTTAAGTTTGGCAATGCGAGAGCCCAATTATTTCCTGCAGGCATTCATTTTGCTGTCCTTTCTCTATTGACCAATTATTTAATTAAAGCGCACTTCATTAATCCCTAAGCCGTCACAGTAAACCCAGGGCTTATACGTATGTGAGAAGCTGTTTGGGGCACCACCACAACATGATTTTTATCCATTCAGGTCCTATCCTCCTTTAATGGGCCGAGCTGGCAAGAAATCTGCTCTGTGAGCTTTCACTTGAAGCTAGACATCCCATAATACAGCACAGACCGACCTTTATTTGCAGATGATTTTTCCCCCATCGAGCAAAAAGGCTTATATACGCACTTTCCGCTGTGAAAACGGGGTACAATGGCCCGACTCTCCGGCATTATTTCTGCGTAAATAAAACTTTAAAGCCCGCACATCCCCCCGCGCCGCTGAATCGCCAGGGGCGAGCGTGCGTTTCCAAGGTAGAGCAAAATTAATTTCCATCCCTCCTCTCTGAAACGACTCGGTGCCGAAGGAATGGAGAAGTCATGGCTATTTCACTAGTAACAGGATTAAACCATTTATGAGGCATTGCAGCTGCTCTTTTATGGCATCTGATTGATATTCATGTGTGGTTAGCATTTGTCTCCTAACTTGTGTAACACAGAGAATAGTAAAAGAGAGACAATAATCGCCGGGCTGTTACATATTCAGGGGACTGGATTTCCCCTATCAGCCTTTCAGCCGCTCCAGGCGCGGGGCTGACCTCCCCTCCGGCATTTGGGAGCCCGGAGCACTCATCCAGCCGGGGCAGAACGGCACGGAGCCGCAGAAACCCTCCCCGGCAGCATCCCCGGCATCCCCGGCAGCATCCCCGGCAGCATCCCCGGCAGCATCCCCGGCAGCATCCCCGGCAGCATCCCCGGCAGCATCCCCGACAGCCCGGGCAGCATCCCCGGCAGCATCCCCGGCAGCATCCCGGGCAGCATCCCCAGCATCCCCGGCAGCATCCCCGGCATCCCGGGCAGCATCCCCGGCAGCCCGGGCAGCATCCCCGGGCAGCATCCCCGGCAGCATCCCCGGCAGCATCCCCAGCACCCCCGGCAGCATCCCCGGCAGCTCTGCCTGGCTCCGGAG